TAGAGAAAGCTGGGGTACAGCCCACGATGAGACATGGAAATGTGCTCGTGCTACTTCTAGGCCTTGCTGTGCCCATCTGCCCAAAAACTGGTCAGGCCCGGGACTCTGCGACCCTCGGGGTCGCTGCTCCATGCATGGCTGGGAAGTGTCGGGGGCACTCCGATTGTCTCGACGCCGCGCGTGCTAGGAGCACCCCCCCGAGACACCCAGCCTTTCTACAAGAGGCCCTGTCTGGGTTGAAGGTGTTCCTGTCTGGGAGACCCACTGGTGGGAGTTCGGTAAGGTGAAGGCTCATGTTCTGGACGGACACGTCCACGACGACCAGAGTGCTCGAAGTGGTAAGTGATGCCGCCGGCAGGGCGGCCAAGATGGGCTTGAGTCTGCACCCTCAGACATCTGCGAGCGAGGGAGGCACCTTGACATGGAAGGCTCGAGCAGCTAAGTCTGCAGTACGCCTCGGAGCGAGGCTCCTGCACCTGTGGCCCAGACTCGCCCGCAACGGAGTGGAGCTCTCCAGGAAGCCAACGCAGCAGTCGAGCGCAGCCTCTGCCCAGGACCACGACTGGGTGTGGCATCGCAGGTACTGGAAATGCTCCACCTGTTTCAGGTACAAGCGATAAGATGACCGCCCTTTTGCCTCGGGGTGCTCTGGACGCGTTCCCGGGGCCATCCGAAGGGTAGCTCTCGGGGTCACAATTTGGTTTCGTTCCTGTGCTCCAACGAATCGTCCCTTGATTTGCTCGCGTCTCTTGCAAGGCCAGCACAACCCTGGGCCCCTTCGGCTCTCCTCGGTGAATGCGCAACCGCGGGCTTCTTCGGAAGAGTGACGACGGTTGGTCCCGCATCACGCGCGGGAAGCACCCTCGGGCAGCAGATGCCCAGATCGAGGCCGACCTTGTGCCTGGCGAGGATGCGACACCCGAGGCACCCGACCCCCTCGCCCCTGTGGCGGGGGAACCGGCCGAGCTCGCCCTCCAGCAAAGACTTGTCGCAACGCAGCGTCGCAGCGCGTCGTCGTGCACACTCCCATGTGGCAGGAGGGCTTGAGGCAAGCCCACAGTCCCAGGTTCTTCGTCCCAGGCTTCTTCCCCTCCCAATGAGCAAGGGGGTGCAACCTGGCGGGCAGCGCCAGCAGGTCTGGGAGGCCCACTCCCTCGAAGAGGGCGAGGCCCCTCTGCTTCGAGCTCCACGGCGTCTGGCGATTCGACTGGGCTCGTGGCCTCGCTGGCCTCTCGCACTCGCGTGGGCCACCGCGGGTTCACTCTTCTGCCCTCCAGGGGCAGGCTCCTTGGCGTCACCAATCGTCAGGGCACGGTCCGTGTAAAGCGAGAAATCCTTCACTTCCTCCTCCTGCTGAAAAGCCTTCCAGACCCCTTAGACCCTCTGGCAACAACCAGAAACGATCATACCCCATCCTCTTCCCTCATCCCCGAAGAAACCCAGTCACCCCCACCTCCCTCCTCTTCCGCTCCCTCCTCCATCTTCGCATTTCCTCCCCTTCCTCCCCAATAGCCATCCAGAACCCCCTTCTAATACCCGTTTAGAAGCCTAGCATGTGTATACTGGTCTTCCTTGTGTCTAGCGTTCCAAAAATTGTATGCCGTACGCACGATCCAGCCCGCTCCATAACCCCCAGACGCGCCGCTTCCACGCAGCTCCCGCCCACACGCATCACCGCACACTTTATGAATCCCGCTACCGCGCTCCCAGGTTCCCGGCAGTCCCGCGCCCCCTCCCGCCACTTCCGCCCCGGTTTTTCTTATGATCCACGCTTCGCATATCCCCACCAGCCCATTCGGAAGCCTTGCCCACGAGACCTGACGGGAAAAAGGGACGGAGAGACACATCCAGGGGAACAAAGCGAGCAACCAAGAGTAGAAGGAGGAGGAGGAGGAGGAGGAGAAGGAGGATGAGGACGAGGAGGACGAGGAGGACGAGGACGCGGATGAGGACGAGGAGGGCGAGGAGGACGAGGACTAGGATGAGGATGACGCGGACGAGGACTCATGGAACCATCTAGAGGTATTATTGCGGCTGCTGCTGCTGCTGCTGCTGCTGCTGCTGCTGCTGCTGCTGCTGCTGCTGCTGGTACTCTCTGGGAGTTTGGGGCAGCAGGCAACCAGAGGGTAAATTGGAGCATCGGAGGTCTTCTTGAAGCTACGGGGCTGTCTGGGGGGATATTGAAGTCCTCTTGAAATTATTGTGGGGCATAGTATAGCCCTCTTAGGGCTCTTTGGGGGTCTTGGGGTCCTCTTGGGGCTCTTTTGGGGCGTCTTGAGGCACTCTTGGGGCTCTTTTGGGGCTCTCTTGGCGTTCTCTTGGGGCCCTCTTGGGAGCTATGGAGCGCCTCTTGGGACCGTCTTGGAGACCATCGATCAAAGGAGGGGGGGTCCTCGATATGCCTCCCCCTCCGGGGTCATCAAAATCGCCTCTTGGTGCCCTCTTCGGGCGCTCTTGGAGCGATCTTGGGCGCTCTTGGGGCCGTATTGGGGGCCTCTAGGACCCCTCTTGGAGCTTTCTTGGGCCACCTTGGGGCCATGTAGAGGCCTCAAAAGCGCATCGGAAGCGAAAAGGTGAGAAGGCAACAATCATTGACTTTCCTGAGGTGTTTGAAGGACTTTGGCTTCTCGAGGGGGCCCGAGGGAGCTCTGAAAGTACCTGTAACCGTCCTGTGGCCCTCTTTGGGCCTCTTTGAAGCATGTTGTTAGTTTTCTTGAGCCATGTTAGGCTATCTTGAGCGATCTTGGAGGCTATCTTGGGCTCTCTGAGGCCATCTTGGAGCCATCCTGACATGAAAGGGGCCCTCTGCCACCTCGCGAAACCCCCCGTCCAGGTCCAGGGGCTGGGGGAGGGGGAGGGGTGAACCCCTCCCCGAAGGGGAAGAGGGGGCTCTTGGAAGAGGAAAGAAAGTCAACGTTAGACCACCTGTCGCCCAAAGGGCTGGTGGGATTTAACACGCACGACACCGCCCCGCGCCGCAGCTCGGCCACCTCCGTTCCGCTTCAAGCAGCCTCGCGCCCCCTCACGCTCCGACCTGCTTACACGCAGGGCACCGCCTTGCGCCACACACCCGCCCCCTCCGCCCCCACCCCTCTATTCCGCACGCGCACGGCGCAGGCCTTCCGCCCCGACCAGTTAGCCCCGCCCCCAGCAGCCCCGCGCCCATTCCGCCTGGACCCTTTTTAACCCTCACGTACGGCACAGCTCTTTTGCACCGACCAGGCATCACAGCTCCCCCGTTCCCCAGCAGACCCGCGCTCCGTCCAGCCCGCTTTCTTTGCCCCGCACGCACGGCACCGCCCCGCGCTGCAGCCTTACACCAATATCGGCGGTGTGCCTCCACCGAGGGAAGAAGATCCCGTTCTCGGTGATGGTGGTAATATTATGGTTTCCAAGGGTGCCGAAGTATTACCATCAACACCGAGATCTAGGATCATCTTCCCCCTGTGGAAGCAACCCCCCGTGTTGGTGTTGGTGTCCATTTCCAGGCCTCCAATGGTCCCTCCGCCCCGACTCCTGTACCCCGCACGCGCCCCCCTCCCCGCTCCCAGCAGCTGCCAGCTCCGCCCCGACCCCTTTATTGCGAAGGCCCTACGGCCCATGCCGCCGACCCTGTTCGCTAGGAGGAGGAGGAGGAGGAGGAGGAGGAGGAGATCCAGAAAGTGTGCGGAAGTATCGGGGATTCTGGGATGTGTGTGTGTATTTATGTGTGTGCCCCTGGGCCCCCTCCACAGCGGCCGTCCATCTTTGATGTGAAAAGAGAGATTGGACAAGGCAGGATGCTGAAGTCCCAGGAAGCGTCCAGCGATAGCCCCGCGTTTTCACAATGAGCATCCCTCGCGGAAGCCTCCATTGAGAGCTTCAATATGTTGAAAAGAAGCTGCCATCCAGCCCTGCAAGTGCTGCACATCGTGGAGTTTGGGGTCGTAGAGACTGGGGCACTATCCAGCGGGAGCCGCGTGGTGAAAACGAAACGGCATCCACATGTCTGAAAGTGTTGGGGAGCGTTTCAATGAGTGCGCGCGGCGCCAAGGCGAGAGCCGCACTACGGAGACAGCCAGGTCATCCTTGCAGCCGTCGGACATGTTCAAGTCAAATACATTCGCCCGTGGAGGCGAGAGCCGAATGTTTGAAACCACTGGCCCTGCATCCTTGTAATTGACGAGCCAGAAAATCGCATGTGCGCTGCGCTGAAGCGAGAGCCACAGTTTGAAAACCACTGACCTTTTCTGGTTGTTGGAGCTTCTCAGCTTCAGGGTAGCTGGTCGACAGGGAGCCTCAACAAAAACGCCCAGCCCAACCTACGGACACGTCCAGTCGTTCGGGCAGCCCATTTTCAGGAGAGAGACACACAGACACAATGAATCGTCGACCCCAGGAAAATATTGGAAAATATGAGAAGTGGGAGGGGGAAGACAAAATCCCAGAAATACATGAAAATACTGGGAATCCTGTTATTTGTGTGTATTGATTTGTGTGTCCCGGGGCCCCTTCAGATTTATTCATAAGAAAGAGGGATGGGGAGAAGAGGCGGGGAAGCAGGGCAAGGAGGAGGGGGAGGAGGAGGAGGAGGAGGGGGGAGGAGTGGGATAACGACGGGGGGGCGATGTTGAGGAGGAGTGATCCTCCTCCTTGTTTTCCTCGGCCCCTCCTCCTGTTCATCGCTGGGCACTGCTTCAAATATTTCGCGCAGACACACTTTCCCGCATGTCGCTGCTGCCGCTAGCTGCGGCCGCTTTTTGGATCCTCCACAGATGCGTCTTGCCGTGCCTCGTTCTTCTCAACCTCCTTTCACTATATAATCCTCCCTTCTTTTCCGACGCCTCTCCCTCGTCCCTCGTCATCCTCCTCCAGCTCCTGCTCCGGCCTTCTCCTCCTCCTCCTCCGCCTCCTCCTCCTTCTCCTCCTCGTCCTCCCCCATCGGCCTCCTCCTCTTCCTCCCTGCTCCCTACCTCCTGCATTATCCTTCCTGCATCCCTCCTTCTCGCCTTCTCACAAAGGTGCGTCATGGGCATCCACGACATGGGATGGACTGTGCCCGCGCGCTCTTCTGAGCACGCACCCGCCCCGAGCAAGAGCGGCTCGGGAGCCAGAGGTTGTGATAGGGGGGTCTGCATGTGGCAGGGCCAGGCAGGCGCGCAGATGGCGACCTGGAGGGAGGGGGCCCTCACAGTGCGTTACCATAGCGCTTCTTCTACCGGCTGGCACATCGGAGGCGCTCCAGGGCAGAGGAGGAAGACAAGGAGGGCAAGAAGGAGGAAGAGCAGGAGGAGGAGGAGGAGGAGGAGGAGGAGACGGAGGGGGACACTCGGAGGAGGAGGGGGTGTGAAGAAGGAGGGGAAGGGGGAGGAGGAGGAGGAGGAGGAGGAGGAGGAGGAGGAGGAGGACGAGGAGGAGGAGGAGGAGGGGGAGGAGGAGGAGGAGGAGGAGGAGGAGGAGGAGGAGGACCAGTGTAAACCCATGATTCATCAACGTTGTTGGAATTAATCCTCCCTCCAAGCTCCCTCTTCATAGGCCCCTTTACAACGGTTCATGCCCATAAGAACTGCGTCGTTGGAAGACAACCGTCTGAAGAACTTGAAGCATGCCAACACATTGTTCTCGGGACTTCCGCGCCACGGATAAACCTGACTGATGCGTCCTGACGATCTCGAATCGTGCCAGAACGCCATTTCGGGCACTTCAACACCCCGAGCCAATATAACAGTTGCACCCGCATAATCGTGATTTTTCCCAAGCACCATGTCTGGTACGCTGGTCGTGGGAATCCGTGGAACTCTTGCAATTGTTTGGAACGAATGTGCGCGGCGCTGAAGCGAGAGCCACATGTTGAAAAAGAACTGCCCTCACTCCGTGAACCTCTTGCAAATTCTCAAAACGAATGTGCGCGGCGCTAAGGCGAGCCACAGTTTGAATATCAAGCGCCCTCAATCCGCGAAACTCTTGCAACTTGTTATAGCGAATGTGCGCGGCGCTAAGGCGAGAGCCACATGTTGAAAACCATTCAATCCGCAAAACTCTTGCAACTTGTTATAACGCATGCGCGCGGCGCTAAGGCGAGAGCCACATGTTGACAACCACCCGCCCTCCACCGCCGCCCTCCACCAGAGTCATAAATTGTGAGGAGTTCTCAGGCGAAACGCCCGCCCCGCCTTAAAAACTAGGTTTCGGAGTGCGGCAGGGGGATACCAGGGGAAAAAACAATCCAATATGTGTCATGGCTATACGGTGATGGGGTTATAGAGCTATGGATATGTAGGGCTGTACGTCTATAGCGCTATACGGCTATAGGGCCATAGGGCTGTAGGGCTATAGGGCTACGGGTCTATGGGGCCCTGGGGCTATGGGGCTATAGGGATATAGGGTTATAAGTCTATCAGGCTATAGGGCTATAGGACCATAGGACTAAAGGGATATAGTTATATGGGGCGATAGGGCTATAGGCATATAGTGGTGTAGTGCTACAGGGCTATAGGACTATAGGGCTATAAGGGTATATGCTATAGGGATATAGGGCTATGGGGCTGCAGGGCTAATGTGCTATGGGGCTATAGCGATATAGGACTATGGGGCTATAGGGCTATTGGGCTATAGGGCTAGATGGCTACAGGGCGATTGGGCTACAGGGCTATTGGGCTATAGGGCTATGGGGCTATAGAGCTATAAGGCTATAACGCTATAGGGTTAAAAGGCTATAGGGCTATAAGGCACCTGGGCACCCGGGCATCCGGGCACGTGGGCGGGCCGCAGAAATCGGTGACGTACCTCACCTAACCATATAAATCCGCTAGGACCCCCTACAGAGGCAACCTCTGATTAAGGAATAAGGAAAACGAATGGGTGAGGAGGAGGAGGAGGGGGAGGGGGAGGAGGAGGACCAGTGTAAACCCACAGAGTCAGCAACGATGTTGAAATTAATCCTCCCTCCAAGCTCCCTCTTCGCAGGCCCCTACAACGGTTCGTTTCCATTGAGGGAACTGCCTCGTTGGAAGACAACTCTTTGAAGACCTTTAAGCATGCCAGAACAATGTTCTCGGGATTTCCACGCCACGGGTCAACCTGACTGCGTCCTGACGATTTCGAATCGTGTCAGGACGTCATTTGGGGAATTCCAACACCGCGAATCAATATAAGTGCTGCACCCGCATAATCCTAAATCCTTCCAAAACACAAATTTTGACACGTTGATCATGGGAATCCGTGAAACTTTTGCGAGTGTCTAAAACGAATGTGCGCGAGGGCCGCATGTTGAAATGGAATTGCCGTCAACGCGTGAAACTCTTGCAAATGCTGAAGTCGAATGTGCGCGGCGCGAAGGCGAGAGTCACATGTTGAAAACCACCCGCCTTCAATCCGTGAAATTATTGCAACGTGTTCCCCACATGTTTCGTGAGGTTATGGTGTTCTTCCCTGCCGCGTCGCACCCGCGTCTCACACCCGCACACACCTCCCTCACCTCCCTCTCCCGCAAAGCGTGGCAGACGCGACATACATACATACATACATACATACATACATACATACATGCATACATCCATCCATCCATCCATCCATACATACATACATACATACATACATACATACATACACAGGCACACCGACACAGACACATACACACAGACACACACACACAGACACAAACACACATACACACATACACTCCCTCACCCACGCGCAACACCTGCACGGCACGTACATGAGACACGCGTACCACACTTCACAACACAGCGCGACGCAGCACAATACAGCGCTGCTCAGCACAGCTCAGCTCGGCACAGCACAGCACAGCACAGCTCAGCACAGCACAGCACGGCGCACATGACACGCCATACACACCACGCACGTGTAGGATGCGCAGGGTAGGGCAGGCATCGCACTTTCTCGACACCAGAGGGAGTGCGTTGTTGGTGGTCACTGAGCGCCGTGTTCGACACCATAGGGGGTGCGCAGGAGGTGGTCCCTGAGCGCGGCCGCTATCCGAGACGGTCGTCCAGGGCATGGCAGGAGTGGCACTTTGTCGACACCAGAGGGGCTGCGCAGGAGGTGGTCCTTGAGCACGGCCGCTATCCGAGACGGTCGTCCAGGGCATAGCAGGAGTGACATTTTCTCGACACCGTAGGGGGTGCGCAGGGGGTGGTCCCTGAGCGCGGCCGCTATCCGAGCCCGTCGTCCAGGGCATAGCAGGAGTGGCACTTTTCCGACACCATAGGAGGTGCGCAGGAGGTGGTCCCTGAGCGCGGGCGCTATCCGAGACGGTCGTCAAGGGAATGCCAGGAGTGGCACTTTCTCGACACCGTAGGAAGTGCGCAGGAGGTGGTCCCTGAGCGCGGCCGCTATCCGAGACGGTCGTCCAGGGCATGGCAGGAGTGGCACTTTGTCGACACCATAGGGGCTGCGCAGGAGGTGGTCCCTGAGCGCGGCCGCTATCCGAGACGGTCGTCCAGGGCATGGCAGGAGTGGCACTTTCTCGACACCATAGGGGCTGCGCAGGAGGTGGTCCCTGAGCGCGGCCGCTATCCGAGACGGTCGTCCAGGGCATAGCAGGAGTGGCATTTTCTCGACACCGTAGGGGGTGCGCAGGGGGTGGTCCCTGAGCGCGGCCACTATCCGAGCCCGTCGTCCAGGGCATAGCAGGAGTGACACTTTTCCGACACCATAGGGGGTGCGCAGGAGGTGGTCCTTGAGCGCGGCCGCTATCCGAGACGGTCGTCCAGGGCATGGCAGGAGTGGCGTTTTCTCGACACCGTAGGGGCTGCGCAGGAGTGGTCCCTGAGCGCGGCCTCTATCCGAGACTGTCGTCCAGGGCATAGCAGGAGTGGCTTTTTCTCGACACCATAGGGGCTGCGCAGGAGGTGGTCCCTGAGCGCGGCCGCTATCCGAGACGGTCGTCCAGGGCATGGCAGGAGTGGCATTTTCCTGACACCGTAGGGGCTGCGCAGGAGGTGGTCCCTGAGCGCGGCCGCTATCCGAGCCCGTCGTCCAGGGCATAGCAGGGGTGGCACTTTCCCGACACCGTAGGGGGGGCGCAGGGGGTTGTCCCTGAGCGCGGCCGCTATCCGAGCCCGTCGTCCAGGGCATAGCAGGAGTGGCATTTTTCCGACACCATGGGGGGTGCGCAGGAGGTGGTCCTTGAGCGCGGCCGCTATCCGAAACGGTCGTCCAGGGCATGGCAGGAGTGGCACTTTCTCGACACCACAGGGGCTGCGCAGGGGGTGGTCCCTGAGCGCGGCCGCTATCCGAGCCCGTCGTCCAGGGCATGGCAGGAGTGGCACTTTCTCGACACCGTAGGGGGTGCGCAGGGGGTGGTCCCTGAGCACGGCCGCTATCCGAGCCTGTCGTCCAGGGCATAGCAGGAGCGGCACTTTCCCGACACCATAGGAGGTGCGCAGGGGGGGTCCCTGAGCGCGGCCGCTATCCGAGCCCGTCGTCCAGGGCATAGCAGGAGTGGCACTTTTCCGACACCATAGGAGGTGCGCAGGGGGTGGTCCTTGAGCGCGGCCGCTATCCGAGCCCGTCGTCCAGGGAATTGCAGGAGTGGCATTTTCCCGACACCGTAGGGGGTGCGCAGGAGGTGGTCCTGAAGCGCGGCTGCTATCCGAGACGGTCGTCCAGGGCATGGCAGGAGTGGCATTTTCCTGACACCGTAGGGGCTGCGCAGGAGGTGGTCCCTGAGCGCGGCCGCTATCCGAGCCGGTCGTCCAGGGCATAGCAGGAGCGGCACTTTCCCGACACCGTAGGAGGTGCGCAGGGGGTGGTCCCTGAGCGGGGCCGCTATCCGAGCCGATTGTCCGGGGCGCTGTCGATGGGCTCGTTGCGCACTGCAACACTGGGTCGCCGAGGCGGTATGGGAATGTTCTCGGCCCAGCGGGCTTGCAGAGCAGCCAGTCGGTTCGGTTGCTTGATCGCTGCCACGGCGTATCGGAGACCTAGATGCCAAATCGGGGCATCCTGGTTAGTATATCAATGGCGAGGGGGAGAGGAGGAGGAGGAGGAGGAGGAGGAGGAGGTTATCATCACTCCAGCCATAATATAAGTATGTGGGGTTCCTCGGTAGTTCAATTATAACGAGTGTTCGCGGCGCGAAGGCGAGAGCCACATTTCGACAACCACCCGCCTTCCATCTGTGAAATTGCTCCCATGCTTTTAATGTTCACATTCATGATACCGGAGAAAAACCCAATCAGGGCTATAGGGGGCTATAGGGCTATTGAGCTATAGGGCTATAAAGCTATAGGGCTATAGAGTTGTAGGGCTATAAGGCTATTGGGCAATTGGGCTATAGGGCTATAGGGCTTTGGGCTATAGGGCACGCCCGGGCACCTGGGCCCCGGGCACCCCCCGGCACCCGGGCACCCGGGCGTGCAGCGAAAATCGGCGACAAACCTAACCTAATTATATGAGTCCGCTAGGACCCCTACAGAGGCAAGCTCTGATTGGGGAATAAACGGTGAGGAAGTCACAGGCGAGACGCCCGGCCCGCCCTAAGAACTAGCTTCGGAGTGCGACAGGGGGAAGTTATCTAAGGAAAAAGGAATGGAGGAGGAGGATGAGGAGGAGGAGGGAGGGGCATCTGTTTCCTCCCCCACCTCGTCCTCCTCGCCCTCGTCCCCCACCCCACGCGGCACCAGGCCCTCGCCGCGAAGTGTTCGGTTATATCTTTATATATATATATATATACATATATATGTTGCGCGAGAGAGAGAGAGAGAGAGAGAGACCATCTCAGCCAGATCCCAGGGTAAGTAGACCAGACAGCTGGGTCCGAGGCTTGTTCGTTCGTTCGCTCTTCCCCCCCATACGTTCCGATCTGAGAGTCCTCCGGCGCCACGCTCGCAGACCTCATGCGGCGGAGGGGGGGGCGCGCTTTCCCAGGGCCCTGGCCCGCCGCCTTCTATCCGTGCCCGCTTCTGCCAGCCAGCCGCCCGCGGCCGCGGCCCACGCAGTTCTCGGCCGAGGGGGATGGAGGAGGAAGAAGGACAACAAGAAGAAGAAGCAGAAGACGAAGACGAAGAAGAGCACGAAGAGGAAGAATAAGAAGAAGACGAAGAAGGGGAAGAGAAAGAAGAGCACGAACAGGAAAAATACGAATGTTAACAAGAATGATAACAAGTGTAGTGATCATGATAATAATAAAGATAATAATAATAACAATTATAATCATAATAATAGTAGTAGTAAGAATAATAAGAATATCAACAATAATACTAACAACAATAAAAATAACACTAACAACATCAATTGCAATAACAATACTAATACTGATAATACTAATAATAATAATAATAATAATAACAATAATAATAATAAGAAGAACAAGAAGAAGAACAGGAGGAGGAAGCGCAGAAGAAGAATAAGAAGAGGCGCGGGAGGCGGGGTGTGGGGGGGGGAAGAACTGGAGGCCTCTGGGGGAGGAGGATGAGCAGGAGGAGGTGGTGTGGCGGGGGAGGGAGAGCACAGACCGAGCTGGAGTCGGCTCTCGAGGTCTTCGAGGTTCCCCTGGACCCGTTCCTTCCCTGCAACACAGAAGGTGTCGACGGCGTCGTTGGCTAAAGGGCCCACCTTCACTGCTCTGTGTCCCCCTCTCCTCTCCACTCGTCCTTGCTTCACCCGAGCCAGAATCGTCTGCATTGAACTTGAAGTCCACAGTACCCGACCGACCGACCGAGGGGAAGGAGCGATGAGGAGGAGGAGGAGGAGGAGGAGCAGGAGGAGGAGGAGAGGAAGAGGAAGGGAAGGGGGAGGAACGGGAGGAAGAGGAGGAGGAGGAGGAGGAGGAGGAGGAGATGATGGGCAGGGCCCAGAGCGTGGAAGTCCCAGGGGGGCGCAGGAGGCCGGGTGCTGCCAACGGTGACCTCGGCCCGAGGGTTCCCCGGCTTTCCCGCGAGGCCCGTTTGGCCTTCAGCGGACCCCTCGCGAGGCCCCAGGGAGCCATGGGGACTCCAGCAGAGGCGACAGGCTGGGGATTCCTTGGGCCAGGACCACATCTGGCAACCTCCGACAGGGGCCTTGCCCAGGACGGAGCGGAAGGTGTTCGGCAAGATACGGTACATGAACTACGCCGGATGCACGCGCAAGTTCAACGTGTCGGCCTACGAGGCTCGAGGGCTCGGCTCGGAGGAGGGCCAGCCGAGACAGCGGCGGCCCTCCCTGATTCAGCGCTGTTCGTCCATCTTGGGCATCCTGGAGGCCTCTCGTCCCCACGGCTGGGTGCGCGCCGAAGAACGGGTCGGAGTGGACCCCGAGGAGGGTCCGGGGACCGATCGCGGGCGGACTTGGGCTGGGCGGGAGGGTGGTCTCTGTCTCAACTGGCCCTGCTCCGATCCACGCTCGCTGCGTCCCTTGCCTGGGGAAGGCCCATGGCCCATGGCGGTTTCGGGCGCCACGGGCGGGTCGCCGCGGGCTGAGGTCTTCTTTCTCGGCGCCTGGCCCAGGCCGCCCCCGTCTCCACACGTCGATTCGGGGACGCCCAGGGAAGGAAGACACTGCGTTGAGAAGAGAAGAGGGCGACTGAGAGCACCAGCTGGCCGCTCTGCCGTTGATCAGGAGTTATGTGTACATGTCTACAGACACTTCATGTACTTGTCATCTACACACCTTATATGTGTATAAAGTCACTGAAGTTTGCAGACGTTCTGGTGTGCCCCAGGCCTTTTTGCCTCCTTGGAGGCCTCTGGGGTCCTCCCAGGAGGGCATGAGCCGAGAAGAGAGGGAGGGGCGGTGAGAGGGAGGGGGAGGGCAAGGGTGAGGGCAGAGGAAAGGGCGACGGGCCAAGGGGAGGAGGGGGAGTTCAGAGAGAAGGACAAGAGGCAGGGTAGTGGAGGGTGTGTGTGTGTGTGCCAAGGGGAAAGGAGTGAGGGCAGAGGTGATGGAAAGTTGGGAGGATGAATGGAGGGCAGAGGGGGGAAGAGAAGGAGCAGGCAGAGGAGAGAGTAAGAGGGATGAGGAGGAGGAAGAAGAAGAGGCGGATGAGGAGGAAGAACACGAGGAGGACAGGATTAAGAAGGGGGAGTAGGAGAGGGAAGGAAGAGGAGGAAGAGGAATACGAATCAGGAGAAATATGAAGACGAGGAAAAGGAGGACGAGGGAATAGGAGGAACACGTATGGTGAATGCCCTTTCCCCCCAAACTTGGCTGCTTCGCATACAGATTGTCCAGCCGGCGCCTTAGCCGATCCGGCTCATCAGGGTATGGGTCTTCGCGTTCTCAATGTGCAGTCTGTGTGTTGGTATCAAATGGCCTTCGGCCTATCTCGCCACCTTGCCTGCGCTGCGAGTCATGTGTCCTGGATCAGGCTCGAGTCCCTCTGGTGGGCTGTTCCCTGGCCTGTCGGCAATATTCGTCGCCGTTTTTCTGATGGTGATCTTCTCCGATGCTGCTCTCTGCTGGTCGTTACCTTGCTTCTGCTCTCTGATTGGATTTCCCACGGCTTTCGTGCGGTGTTTTGGGGGGCCTTCGGCGGGCCTCGTGTGGGTTCCTGTGGGCCTCGTGGGGGCCTCTCGGGGCCTCTTGGGGGCATCTTGGGAGCATCTCCTGACCTCTTGGAGGCCCCTGGTGGAGGCGGAGATCCCGAAATGCCGGCCTGTGTTCCTCCTCCGAGACACCCCTCGTGGGCGTCAGAGGGGGCCTCCTGGGCCATCCTGGAGGCCTCGTGGGCCGCCTCGGCACCCTCCTGGGGGGCCTCGGGGGGCCGTCTTGGAATTCTCGTGGGGGCCCCTTTGGGCGGTCCGGGAGCGTCGGGAACCCGAGGAGGCAGAGACGTCCCTGCGAGCACCCTCGGGAAGGCAATGAGTGTTACCTCTCCGGGCCCTCTGGGGAGTGTTCCCGGAGGCCTCTCGGAGCGCCCATGGAGGCCGTCGGGAGGTCCTCGCGGGCGCCTCGGGAAGCCCTGGGGACGTCCCTGAGGCCTCGTGCACGCTCGAGGGTGGGCTTCTCGGAGCCGTCTTGGCCCGTTGTGTGGCACGGCGTCCAGAGGAGCCGCAGTTAGGCACCCTGGAAGCTCGCGGGAGCCACCCGGGCCCATGTGCGGACAGGCCCGGGAAGCCGGCGGTGCGGGCCCTCAAGAATTTACAGTCTTGGCTGCAGCAGTCCCGGCTGCAGGAGCAGCGCGGCCGTGGTCCTTTGGGGCTCGGCACGTCGTGCCGGAGGCACGGTGGCAGATCTGTGGGATGCCGTGCGCGTGGCGTGGAAGATGCGGTGCGGCCCATGTGTTGCAAGCTGTGCAGTGCAATCTACGTGGTGCAAGCCAGGCGCTGCAGGATTCAGCTGCCTGCGGCAAGTCCCGCCACTAGTGGATGTTCGTCGTTGGCATCTCGTGGGAGGCCTCTCGGGGGCCTCGTGGATGCAGTTTTAAGGCCTCTTTGGAGCTGTTTTGGGGCCTCTTGGGGGCCTCTTGGGAGCCTATTGGGGCCACTCGGGGGACTGTTGGGGGCCACTCGGGGGCCTCCTGGGCGCCTCTTGGGGCCTCCTGGGCGCCTATTGTGGCCTCCTGGGGGTCCCTTGGGGCCTCAGGCTCGGATTTTCGGTTCGTACTCCCTCTCTGGGGCCCCTTTTGGCCTTTTGGCCTTCTTGAGCCGTCTTGGGCGCCTCTTGAGGCCGCCCTTTGGCCCTCTTGAGCCGTCGTGGGGCCCTCTTGCAGGCCTATTGGGCCTCTTTGGGGTGGTTTGGGGGGGCCTCTTGGGCCGTCTTGGAGCGTCGGAGAGGCGAGAACGCCGAAATCTTTAAAAAAAGTCCGGAAGACCAATGATGTTTGCCTCTGGGGGCCCTCTTGGGAGACCTCCGCCTGTTGGGGCGCCCTGGAAGCCTCTTGCGCCATCTTGAGGCCATCTTGGGCGTCTTCGGGCGATCGTTCGGCGACTCGGGGCCCTCTTGGACCGTCTTGGGGGCCTCCTGGGCCGTCCTGGAAGCCTTGGAGTGCCCCAGGGAGGCGCCATGGCCGCCCAGGGACCCCCTGGGAGCATTGCTGGTGCACGCAGCGAGGCGCTCCCCGAGGAGGTATAGAGGCCCTGAAGAAGACGACAGGAGCCCTGCCAGGGCAGCACCTGGCAGTCTGCCACGACTCTCGACGTGCCAAGGGGCACGGTGGCGGACACGCGGTGTGGTGCCATCTGCGGGGTGCACTCTCTGCGATGCCGCACGTGTCGAGGAAGTGACGAGGCAGCGATTGGAGGCGACGGACGGCGGCCGGGCGCGTCCTCCCCTTTTTTCCACCCCCGAGAGCTCAAACCCACCTCGGGCCCTCTCCCTCCCGATGTCTCCGCGTCCATCCACCCATACATCCAGCATCCCTTCCAGGTTCCCCGCTCGCCTCCCTTCCCATCTTCATTTGCTCCGAGACATGATCCCCCTTCAGACATCTCGCCCCTTCCTCCAGGGCTGGCGTCTCATCCCGAGTCGTTGTTAACGGGCCTGGGGCGCCTCGAAAGGGCTAAAATGACGAACAAAGCGATCGTCTCAATTTGTTGAAGCAGCTGGGTGTCTGCCCCACCCCCGCTTGGGGCTGCGTACAGACGGCCCTGGAGGAATTCCCAGCTGGCCTGAACTGGCCTTCCGAGTAGTCCAGGGTTGGTCGGAGCGTTCCGGAACGCTCTGAGAAAGCCGCGGCGCCCGAAATATATCCTCCAGAGCCGCTGGATCTCAGAGATCCTCGATTTAACCCCGTCTTGGCGTCTTATGTCCTTGCGCAGCCCCAAGCCGGTCCAGACCCCGGCTGCCCCTCCAGAGGAGCGGTGGAAGGAGCCCCTCGACGTCGACCCGAGGGCCCTTGCCGACGCCAACCCTGGACCCGCCCGGGGCTTGCAAGGGCGCTGCCTAATCAGGGAGGAGCAGGAGCGAGGAGGGTGATCGAGGAGGAGGAGGGGGAGGAGGTGGAAGGGGAGGAACAGAAGGAGAGACAAAAGACGAGGGACGAGGGACGAGGAGGAGGAGGAGGAGTGGAGAGGGGAGGAGGAGGAGGAGGAGGAGGAGGAGGAGGAGAGAGGAGGAGGAGTAGGAGGGGAGGAGGAGGAGGAGTAGGAGGAGGAGGTGGAGGAACAGGAGGAAGGAGTGGGAGGAGCAGGAAGGGGAGTTGTTTGAACATTCTGAGGAGGAGGGAAGAGGAGGAGGAGGAGGAGGAGGATTGAGAAGGAGGAGGAGGAGAAGGAGGAGGAGGAGAAGGAGGAGGAGGAACAGGAGGAGGAGCAGGAAGGGAGAAGGAGGAACAGGAGTGGGAGGAGCAGGAAGTGGAGTTTTTGGAACACTCTGAATGCCTCTGTCGGGCGCCAAGGTCTTCAGGGAGGGGAGGAAAGGAAAGGAGGAGGAGGAGGAAGAGGTGGAGGATGAGGAGGAGGAGGAGGAGGAGAAGAAGAAGAAGGGAGGCGGCAGATGAGAAGGAGGAGGAGGCGGAGGAGGAGGAGAAGGAGGGGAGGAGGCGCAGGAGGAGAAGAGCGAGAAGGAGGAGACGGAGGAGGAGAAGGAGGAGGAGGAAGGGAAGGGAAAGCTGGACAATTATGAAGGCTTCGAGGGGGCCCAGGAGCTTCGAGAACGCAGGCTGTGAAGGAGGAGAAGGAGTAGGAGTAGGAGGAGGAGGAGGATGAGGAGGAGGAGGCAGAGGAAGAAGAGGAGGAGGATGAGAAGTGAGGGACAGAGTAAACCCAATATGCATCAACGCTGCTGCAATACACCCTCCCGTCCCCAGCCCCCTCGCCACCAGCCCCTACAAGCCTTCCTTTCCCCTTCCAGGAGCACTCCCTCGAAAGACCTGGCCCCCATGCGCCTGTCATTCAGGCGAGAGCTCCGTTCTGAAAAGGAACGAACTGCCTTGTATCCCTCGGCGTTTACAATCAAGACGCTGAAATAAGGGACGCGCTCGGCTCAGCAGGGACTCTGGTGCCCGTGCCGCTCCTTAGACTTCTGTCGTGGAACCGGCTTGTGGCATAGGCCCGCCGTGGCCAGAAGAGCCCTTTCGTTCCTTAGCATGCGTTCTTGAAGTACACATTGCTCGTGCCTGATGATTCGAGAGTTCTTCGATTTGTTTTGGGGGGCAGGATCCTTTCATTTCTAATTATTCTATCCTGGGCCTCTTCCTGGCCACTAGGGGGCCAGGAAGAATTAAAAAGGAGCACACTTCGAAATGAGCACGATTAGAAATGAATGACGTATAGCCCGATGACAGCATCAAGGAACGCGCAAAGCTATGAGCGTACAGCTCAAGGCGATGTCGGGCGACACCCCTTCTTTGAAAAAGGACCGGCCCAGTCCGTGCGGGCACTGCCCAAGATGCCGGTTCTGATCATGCGCGCCCAGGGAATCTCAAGCGAGATCCCTACTTCGAAAAGGAGCCGCCCTCCGCCCGTGTAGCTGCACGATCGGTTCAAGCTTCTGGCCTTGAAAATTGACATGGGCGCATCGAACGCACAAGTATGAAGAGGACCCAACTTTTGTCCGTGCAGCTGTGGCACCTGCTCAAGCTCATGTTCCCCGGAATTTCCAGAGCCCTCGTGCGAAAACCCAAATTGTTGAAAAGGAGCCGCCCACAACCCTTGTAGTTACCAGCTCGAACTGTGCACGACGAACGTGCGCGGCGTTGAGGCGAGAGCTCCATGTTGAGAACGAGCCGCCCTCCACTTCCGAATTCTGCCCCAGACTGTTGAAGCGAAGGCGCGCGGCGCCCTGGGCGACTTCCTTCTGTGTGAAGGGGAGCCGCCCTCCGTCCTCGAAGCTGCTGCACGGTTGCGAAGACGAGTGCGCTCGGCGCTGCGGCGAGAGCGCCACTCTGAACACGGCCCCGCCCATCCGTGACACCGCGCGCGCGGCGCATGGCTTCCCGGCCCCACTCCGTGGAAAAAGCACACACACACAGACTGTGGGAAAAAAACACACACTGTGGGAACAAAAACACTGTGGAAAAAAAACAAAAACAACACACGCACACACACACACACACACACACACACACACGCCACACAAAAAACAATAAACAAACAAAACACAGCCTCCATGGTCCCCCCACGGAGGATGAGGAGCGAGCGTAAGGAGGAGCGAGCAGGATGACGGACCATGCTGACACGGGGAGCTGTTCCGAGGAGGGTCTTGAAGGTTCCTGCGATATTCCAGGGGGGTCCAGCGGGTTCTCCTCGTCGCCCCACGATCCTCTTCCCCCATCCTCCCCGTACTCCTCCCTCCTTGTCTTCTTCATGCTCCATCCCCCTTATCCTCGGCATCCTCCCTGCTCATGTCTTCGTCCTGCTCGTCCACACCTTCTCATCGTTCCTTCAAGTGTGTCAGAACACTGGCTCTACATAGCGGGCTCTGGTAGTGGGAAGCGCCAGACGGACATCGGTCCCCATTCTGAGCCTCGTTCGCGGATGAGTTCGTTGCTCACAAAGCACAAGCCCCGTTGTTCCATGATTGCTCTGCGCAGCGACGTCGCCACGCTGTTGGAGAAATGTGGAAGCGATGGCGCGGATGCGAGCCATGACCTCGCCTCCGTGGAGCGGAGAGGAAGGCGACCCGAATATGTGGCGCAGCCTCAGCGAGCTGGCTCGTCCAGCCGCCCAACTGGGTGCGCCAGGCTCGCGCCGCGCTGGCGCAGCGGCGATGCCGGCGCTGGCGCTCAAGGCCGAACGCTTGAAGGGCGCCCAGGGACACACAAATAAATACGCACAAATCCCAGGATTCCCAATATTTTCTGATATTGTTTTGGTTTTCGCCTTCCCCCCACTTCCCAGATTTTCCTGGGGGTCGACGATGAATTATGTCTGTGTGTTTTTTCCTCTCCTGACCTTTGTGCTGATGGCAAGCCGCAGTCCTTCAAGGTTGGACGATCCACGCGGTATCAGACACCAACGCCGACGTCGTCACGGCTCGAGCTTGCCGTGGGGAGGTCCACGCTCTGTTGGGGTGCGGGGAGGCCAGGGAGGATCAGAACGGCCTTACAATCAAGAAGTTGAGATGTGCATTCTTTCGGCGTGCATTTATTTCAGCCTTGTCATGAGCCTGGCCCTCATTTAATGATGGAACACTTTGGGTTCAGGAGGGGCTGTTATTTTCGCTCCGCTCCTCAGACCTAGGTCGGGGATCCGGTTCGTGGCCGAGGCTCGCCTTGCCCAGAAAAGCTTGTTAAGCTCATTACCCATCAAGGACTGGCGCGGTGCTTCGCGTGGCTTGCAACGGCCGCCCGACGTGGGTGCGGCGGGCACGGGCCGAAGGTGCGGCAGATGCCCACAGTGCTGTGCCGGAGCTTGCTCTCGGTACGATCGAACCTGGGTACGGAAACAGTGTGTAGACGTTGGTGCGGCGGGCACCGGCCGAAGATGCGGCAGATATCTACAGTGCTGTGTCGGAGCTTGATCTCGGTACGATCGAACTTGGGTACGGAAACAGTGTGTACGAACACCAACAGCAGGTCTTGTCGATTATGCACTGGGTTCGCTGTCGCCGTCGCCACGGGCGTTGCCCATTTGATGCACAGGGCCGCCTGCGCAGCAGCACCCGCGGCCGGTTTTGGACAGCATGTGCTGTTGGGCATCATACTGACGTTGTCCGTACCCATGTCGGACGTTCTCATGATAGACTCAGGGGCAACGATAGGGGGGGGGGATAGGCATAGGGGGGGATGCATCGACACCCAATCTCCCATTGATCGCCGATAGGGCCCCGATAGCCCCAACCTGCCCAGGAACGTGCGGATTCACTATCGGAGGCCTATCGCCGATCTATCGGCGATGTTTCGCCGATTCCAAGTCCGTTCACGAATTGACTGGTCTCGGCTCTCAAGGGAGAGAAAGCCCCGCCAGCGGCTCGGGAGGCGTGCCTTCGTGCTGCCTGTGGCCTGCAGCGGCCGCCCGACGCTGGTGCGGCGGGCGCCAGTCGACGGCGCGGCAGATGTCCACAGTGCTGGGGATTCGGGTATAGCCAGGACCCCAGGTAAGGGGACCCGGTTAGTGGTAGGGTCTCGGAGCCCTTAAATTGGCCAGAACCACTAAACCATGTCTGCCGTAGCTCGTGTTTTTTCGGGTGACAGCAGTTCCGCTTAGTGGAACGGACGAGGGGGGCGTCCCTCAGTGCACATCAGTAAAGCAGGTCCCACTAAACCCAGTTCTGCCAACGCACGAGGGATGCTTCCTCACAAGCGGCGAACGTCGGCGGCGAGCGAGGGGGGGAAGTGATAATCAAAGAAGAACAATTTCCATAAGCATAAACTTTTGGCGCTCCGCGCAGATTTCTTGGATCCGCGCTGGGCCCCCCCGGCGGCGCCTCCAGCGCAGCCCCTGGCGCGCTCCGCGCGCCAGGGAGGGGGGTCCGGCGCAGATCCAAGACATCCGCGCGGACCTCCACAAGTTCATGCTCAAGGCATGCGGGAAGGCTGTCAGGAAACCTCTCAGAAGGCCGGGGGACTTCCGAGCGTCCTGAGAAGGCCCGCCCCTTCTCAGGAGGGGAAAAACAACAAAAAAAAACATACACAATTGATCGTCGATTCCCCAGAAAAAGATGGGAAAAGATGGGAAGTGGGGGGGAAGACAAAAACCCAGAAGAGATGGGAAAAGATGGGGAGTCATGCTAATTATCTGTGTCTCTGGCTTCTCCACGGGCCCGCCGCCCCGATCCTCTCACAAGCGGCGAAAACGTATCCAGGTCCGCGCTCTCGTGGCCTGGATTCCCGGGCGCGGTCCCGCGGATGCGCTGTCGCACGGATGCGTTCCGCGCCGGGCGTCCGCGAAGAGACACCCTGCATCCGTCAGGCGCGACGACAGGGGGCGAAGAGCCCAGGGGAGAGCAACACATGTGTTCAGGCGTGCCGATGACCCATGTCTTCGCCAAGGCTCCCGGGCGAATGCGTCTGATGCCCGCCCCTGGGCCATTCGCCCCTATCGTCGCCGCCGAATCCGCGGGGTCGCAGCCAAGGGGCCCGGCCCGCGAGGCCGCGGATGCGGATGCATTTTTCGCCCAGGCCTTCAGCCAGGGGCGCCCAAGGGGGGTGTCAGGACCGGGGGCGGTAGATCTCATGGCCAGGATGGGAATCCCCGGAGTGTTGGTCTCTCGTCTTCTTCTTGTTAGTAGTATCCCTCTTTGTCTCATTCTTCTTCTTTCAATACGCCCCCTGGTCCCCCCCTGAGCCGCGCACGTGCCTCGGGCAATGTTTGCGAACATTCTTCTCGGACGCCGTCTTTGGACGCCCCTGACGCAGGCGGGCCCAGGATCGGGGTGGCCCCGAGCGTTCCAGAGCGCTGTGCAGCGGCACGACGCCCGAGACGTCTTCCAGACCCGCTGGATCTCAAGGATCCCCGATGCATTCCGATCCGATGTCTGCCCCGATCCCGGCTCCGTCCCAGCGCCTGGACGTTAGACCGACACCGGGCGCGAGCAGAGGGCCGAGACCGCCGGCATGCCCTCCGCGGCGCGGGCGCTGCCCTCGGGGGGCCTGCGCTCCGCGGCTTGGCCTGTTGCGCCCGTCACCCGCGAGATGAGGCAGAGAGCGAGCCGAGGCCTCAGCGTTCCCCTCGTTTGATGGGCCTGTTTTCCACCACCACCACCATAAGTTGAAGGGGGGAAGGAGGTGGAGGAGGAGAAGGAGGAGGAGGAGGAGGAGGAGGAGGAGGAGGACCCCCTCCCCCTCCAACTTATGGTGGTGGTGGTGGTGGAAAACAGGCCCATCATCATTCTCCTCACCCTCAATCCTCCATCTCGTTTTGACTTGCCTTCACCGTTTTTGTAGTCTTGAAGTTTGAAGAGTGCAACGGTTTCAAAGGTGAGACACCGTCTTTTGCTGGCTTAATGTTGTTCTCGCTTCGGCGCCGAGCACACTCGTTGCAAAAGTTCGCAACAGCTTCAAGGGTGGAGGCCGAATCCTTTTCATAATGTGGTTCTTACCTCAGCGGCGCGCACATTCGTATTCAAAGTTTGCGGCAGTGTCCAGGAATCACTCGTAGAGCTGAAGTCCCAGGAATGGTGTTATGGCACGATTTGGGACTGTCAGGACGCAACGGGCACGGTGTTTCGCGGCGTTGCAATCCCAGGCATTGCGTTCTAGCACGATTTGGGATTGCCAGGGCGATACAGTCACGTTGACTCAGGGCGTTGCCATCCCAGGAACGGTAGGATTGAGGATTGTCATACGGTTGTCTTTCAATGGTCCGTTTCCCACAATGAGAAGAATTTCTTGTTGGGACCTTTGAAGAGAGGGACCTTTCTGGAGGGAGGATTCAGTGCAACATCCTTGATGCGCCTTTGGCTTACACTCCTCCTCCTTCTCCTCCTCCTCCTCCTCCTCCTCCTCCTCCTCCTCCTCCTCCTCCTCCTCCTCCTCCTCCTCCTCTCACTCCCTCCCCTCCCTCCCCCTCCCTCCCTCCCCTCCCTCTGTCAGTGCACCCCCCCCGGCGGCGGAGGACAGGCGGGCCGCGCGGTGCGGCAGAACCGCGGGGCCCAGACCGCGGAGGGCGGCAACCCCAAGAAGAGACGGGCGCCGCCCCTCGGGGGGGCGGGGGGGGGGAGGCCATGGCGCCCGCCCTGCCCCGGGAGCGCCCGCGACGGGGGGGGGTCAGGGCGCCATAGACGGGGGCACAGTAAACGGGGACATATGAAAAAGCCTAAGCCCCCGTTTAGCTAAAACCCCGTTTAGGAAGCCCCGAGGGGGGGGGGATTCCTAGGCCTCCTATAGATGGGGTCCGAGCAGAGGGGGTCGGCGGATCGCGCCGCATCGCCGATGCACCAACGATGCGGCTCGATGTGGAGCCCGTGTTTCCCCACACCAGCGTCGCCGATGCGTCGCCGACGTCGCCGATGCATCACCGACGCATCGCCCATACTTCGGCGATGCATTGGCGATGCGGCGCGATCGTTCGACACCATCTACTCGGACCCCATCTAGGAGGCCTCTAGGGATGGCCAGGGGGGGTCACTCGAAGAAGAAGTAGCATCCCATAAACATATAAACTGTTGGCGCTCCGCGCGGACCTCTTGGATCCGCGCGGGCCCCCCCACCCCCCGGCGGCGCCCCCGGCGCAGCCCCTGGCGGCGCAGACCCAAGAAATCCAAGGATTCATATCCAGAGGTCCACCGAGCGCGTTCCACTGCTCGCAAAGTGCCTCCTCGCAGACGTCCGAACAAAAAACACGTGTCCGCTGCGATGTGATTCATCCCAGATCCCCCGCGGGGGATCCGGGCCATCTGCGAGCAGTTACTCTGCGAGTGGTGGAACGCGCTCGTCCAGAGATCCAAAGTGTATGTCTACGGTGCCCTTTCTTTCCCGAAGGGGGGCGTCGCGCGGCCGGGGCCGCGCGACGGCCGAGCGCTGCTGCTTCGGGCGCGCCGCGCCGCCAGCTCCGGCCCCCCACGCCGCGGCGCGGCATGCTGTCCACGGCCCAGCCCCCCGAGCGTTGCGTCGGGCCTGTGCCTCCACGGGAGGAGAATTCAGAAATGGTCCAGCCAAAAAATCGGAGGACGGCTATTGTTGCATGATTGTTTTGCTGATTTGGGGCGTTGTTTGGTCATGTTCCATTTGTCTGATTTGGGGCGTTGCATAATTTGTTTCTGATTTGGGGCGTTGTTTTTGGTTGTGTTCTGCTTGTCGTCCCAAACCCCCCTGTAGAGGGGGACAGGCCCGACTTCACCCGAGCGGCAGCGTCCCAAGCCTTCCCGAGCAGCCCGCTCCGCGGAGCGGAGGGACGCGCCGTGCGCTCGCAAGGCATGTGGCGCGTCGTAAGGGGCCACGCCGCCGCGACGCGCGAGGCAGCAGTTCTCGACGGTAGCTCGCTGGGTTCCCTGCCTCGGGAGCCGTGAGACGGGGGTCAATGCAAACGGGGGTCAGCCAGAGCGCCAGATCCTGCAGGATCCTGCGAAAACCCCCTCTGGCTGACCTGGGTTAGCGAGCCGCTCGTGGCCGCGAGGCGGCCGCGCTTATTGGCTGACCCGGGTTTGCGAAGTTCTGCGTTGCAGTTTTTGTTTCCTGCACTGCAGTTTTTGGTTTCCTGCTGACCCGGGTCTGGATTGACCCGGGTCAGAAGATCCCCGACTGCCGCCCCCCCCCGCTTTCTTTTCCGACTGGGCAGGTCGGGCCGGTCCCCCCACATGGAGGGAGATCCAAACACAGTCCAAAAACAGTCCAGGGACGATGTTCTGATCATCTTGTTCGAGCCATTTGGGAGCATGCTTGGGGCACGTTTTTCTCTTCCGCCCAAAATCGGTCTGTGGGGGGGGGGACACGCTCGACCGAAACGTAAGCGTGGCCTGTCGCCCGAGGGGCCCTCGCTGCGGGCCCCGGCGGGACCCCCCCTGTCGCCGAGGACGCGACGCGGCAGCAGCGGCCTGCGCGCCCAGGCCTGGCCACCTGAAACGACGCGAAGATCGGGACAACATCGGATCGGGATAACTCGAAATCTCTGAGAATCGGCGGGTTTGGAGGATGTATTTGGGCGCCGCGGCCGCTCCAGAGCGTTCCGGAACGCTCTGAGAGCGCTCCGGAACGCTCTGGAGCGATTTATCCCGATCCTAGCCCTGTTTTACCACCCCACGTCCCCCTTCGGCCTCGCACCACAGGTCACTCGGCCACGCGCAGAAGGGGGTTGGGGGGAGGGGGGGAGGGCCGCTTAGAAGCACCCCCTGCTTCCTAGCAGGCGCGGGCCTGATCTGTAGATGTGAGGCCGGCGCCTTCTAGGAAGCAGCCTCCTCCTGAGAAGCCCTCCCCCCTCCCTCCACCCCCCCTTGTGCGCGCCGCCGAGTCACTCCGGCCCAGGGTCATCCTTGCGCGTACAGCCAACCCGCATAGTAGGGATGAGCGACTTTTTCAAGGTTGCCCTTGCATCCTTGCCCCTTCGGCCCATTCTTGGCGGCTTTCGCTGGCCAGCCTCGCTCAAAAAGCGTTCGCATGGGCCTCCGGGGCCCTTGCATCCTTACCGCGCATCCTTGGTGTTACGGGCCGACTGTCGCCGATCTTTCTTCCACACATCCCCCGGGCTTCCCCTGTGCGGCGCGCGTGCCCCGGGCCATGTGCGCAGCGGCCCCGCCCCTCCTTCGGGGGTCCCCGAACGGGGCGGTGACCACACCGTGCGGCGAATCGGCTGGGATTCGGGGTCGCCGCACGGTTTTGGGACCTCAGGACGCCTCGGGCGACTGGGACATCCGAGGGCCCAAAGCCGTGCGTTGACGGACCGTGCGGTGAGGTCCTAGAGGACTTCGAGGTCACCGCACGGTTTGTCACCGCACCGTTTCGGGACTCCAAACCATCCCCCGCCCGAGGCGACGGCGCCCGCCGGTTGCTCGTTTTGCCGCGGGGGCCCCGGCCCGAGGGACCCAAAACGGCCAGGGGCGCCGACGCGGGGGGGGGGGGGGGAACTGCCTCAAGGGGGGGGTGGGAGGGCGGCCGACGAAAGGGTCGAGCGGGGCCAGGATGAAGTCGGGCATGTCCCTCTACAGGAGGAATGTTCAAGAGTTGTCCAAAAATAGTCTGGGGACGTTGTTTCTACTAGTTCTGACTATTGCTGAAGATGTTTTGACTCTTTGTTTCTTCTTCCAAGATCCGCCTGTAGGAGGACATGCCCGACCTAAGGCTAGGACGAGGGTAATTTCGTTCCAGAGCGTTCCAGAACGCTCTCGGAGCGTTGCGTGACGCTCTGAGATGGCCGAGGCGCCCGAGAGAAATCTTCCAGAGCCGCCAGATCCCAGAGCTTCTCGATTTATCCTCAGGCCGATGTTATGCTCGTCCTGGCTTCGTCTTTAAGGGGGAGATACGGTCGGGAACTGGCCGGGATGCGGTCGGGCAAGTCCGGCCGTAGGGAAAAAGAGGCTTCGAAGCCTGCTGCGCCCAGCGGCGCCGATCCGAGAAGCCCGCGCGGACCTCCCGAACGGTTGTGCTTACTTAAAGCAGTTGCTTGCTCTTCGGCCGGCCTGCGCGCCTGCCTGGGCTTGGCCGCCCTCCGGCCCCGGCCCCCTGCGCGAGAGGCCGCTCCCGCCCGTGTCGGGTCGGGCGACCGGGGGGGGGGGGGGGGGAAAGGGGGGGTTACGAAATCTGCTGCATGCAGCTGGTTTCGGCCCCACCGAGGGGCCCATTCCTCGATACATGGCCGCCTCCGGCGCCGGGAGGCGCCGGGAAAATCAGCCACGTGAGCTGATTCTCAAACCCCCCCTGTGCTATCCCCCCCTTTCGCCCGGCCCGACCATGGAAGCCGCTCGTGCCCATGGAAGCCACTCCTCCCGAGCCCGGCCTGCAGAGGCCACGCCTGCCCCGGGGGCGCCACTCCTGCGTCTGGTATACAGCCGACCTCTGGCGCCAGGGGGGCGCCAGGAGAACCGGCCGAACGAACCGAGGCGCTGCCCCCCCCCCCTCCATTCAGGAGGAAAAGAAACACACAGAGACAATTAATCCTCGATTCCCCCGAAAATATGGGAAAATATGGGAAGTGGGCGGGAAGACAGAAACCCAGAAAATATCGGAAAATATATGGGATAATTTAATTTGTGTGTATTTATGTGTGTGTCCTTGGGACCCCCCCTCCATGTGATCTCGCGAAGGCCTCACGGTCGGTGCCGCCGGACCCCGAGGGCGGGACCTTCCCACGGGACCCCCGGCTGGCGACCGCCCCAGGACCCGCTGGGACCCTTGGGGGGGGGGGGGGGGCGGCACTCTGATCCCCCCCCCCGTGTGATCCCAGACATGATCGCGTCGTAAAAGCATGAGGACGGGAGGTTTCTGGCTATTCTCAGCCTCGGGGGGGCCCTCGCCGAGCCTCGGGACCGTCAAAAAATCATTCAGGACGAAAAACGGGTCTCGGAGAAGGGGTCGGGACTTCCAGGAACGCCGTCCTGAAAAAGTCAGAACGTCGCATGTCTGGGGTCTTCCCCCCCCTTGCGTCAGACCCGAGCCTCCGGAGGCCTGCCAACGGCGACGGCGGCTGTGCACCGAGGCCGATGCGGGTTCTGGGCTGTCCCGGCCGTGCCGGGAACCCGCGCGCGCCGATCCTGACTGAGCCCAGGATCTCGAGCAGTGGCGACGCGTCCTGGCTTGCCTGCAGGCCCACCAAAGGATGTTCTGAGAACTGTTTGTGGTCTGCACGGCACGTTCTTAGAAGTGTTATGGTCGATATCGTCTTGTTTGAACACATCGGCTTCATGTTCTAAGACACTACGCTTGGACGGTTAGGTCATCCTCCGGTTCTAGGAACATCTCGCGGTAGGCCTATAGGAATGCCGGGACAGTCGGCCCCTGTTCAAGGATCGGCCCGGCCGCGAGCCGGTGTTGGGTGGCGCGCACCAGGGGATGGCGCGAAGGGGGGGGGGGGGCCTTCCGAGAAGGCGGGGGAGCTTCTAAGAAGGCAGGGGCCTCCTCGGAAGCCCTCCCCGTTTCCGAGCAGCCGGCTTAGAGGCCTCAGAAGGCCCTTCCAAGAAGGCCTCTTCTCTTCGAAGAAGCGCGCCGCCTTCTTCGAAGGCACCCCCCCTCGCGCCTCTCCCTCGTGCACACCGCCAGCCCTGTCCGGGAGGGTCTGGAGACTTTCGAAGACGATCGGGGACCTCAAAACACCCAGCGTCGCGGACAGCAGCAACAACAAAACAATGTGTGTGTGTGTTCGCCACGGCCGGGGCCCCGGGACTCCCACGGTTCGGCCAGGTTTGATGAGTCGCACGCAAAGACGCTGTGGATTGGTATGGTCTTTATCCGTGAGGGTTTCGCCCTCTGTCGCCAGCCCCCTCTCTATCACAAGGGGATGTGTCAGGGCTAGGCTGGGATGTCTCGGCGCCGTCTTGAAGACGTCTGGGAGCATCATGCGAGGGCGATTGGCATTCAGCGAACACCTCGACATGTTGTAGCTTATGTTGAACTTTGCATTTCCTTCTGACAGCGTTTCTCGCACGCTGCGTGTTGGAATCCCTCTTTGAACGATTGGGCGCGGGTGCCCGAAGCCGTCTTTGGCACGGCTCGGGCTGCCTTCGATTCGTGGCTGCGGGTCCAGCCCCTCGCTTGGGTGCCTCTCGGAGCCTACCTCTCGGACGCCCTCTTTGGGGCCTCCTGACGCCACAGCGGGCCCCGCGCGGGCGCCCACGGACGCCTTCCGCGCGACGAGCCGGCAGACCCTGCCGGCGCACGAGGCGCACATTTTTGTGGCGTCGACGGCGAGGCGGATAGGCCCTCCGCACCTGCGTGGGGCCAGACATCGGGGCAGCCGGTCCGCAGAGTGTGCGGGCGCACGAGGCGCACACCAGGAGCCCGCGGGCGGGCCTAGCAGGGCCGCGGTTTTTCGGGAAACGTGCCGTGCAGAGTTTGGGGGGGACGGGGGGAGCGAAAAGCGCCTCCCGAACACAGAAGATTACAGATGTCCTGCCCTGGAGAGGCTCATAGCGCCGGGAGCACGAGTCTGGCGTCATGTGGAAAGGATTGCGGCCTCGGGAGGGCGAGTATTGTGCAATTGGCCTCGGGCCCAGCGAAATTTACTAGGGATTCTGGTTTCTGGAGCGCGAATCAAGCGTAATTCAACAGCGGTTCCGGCTTCGGGAGCCCGAATCTGGCGCATTTTGCACCAGAGCCTGGCTTTCGGATATTTACACGGGATTATGATTTCGGGAGCGCGAGCCTTGTTCCATTTACAAAGGGTTCTTGTTTCGGGGGGAGCGCGCATCTGTCGTAATGCATGTGAGTTCTTACCTCTTGAACGCGAATCTGACACAAGTGACGTCTGAGGAAGCGCAAATGGCGTATTTGATGTAGGGTTCTGGACTCGAGGGCTCGATCTGACGCAATTTACCTGGAATGCTTCGGGACCGCGGATCTCGAGTAATTTGCGAAGGTCCTCGGGGGCACGAATCCTGCGCAAGCTACAGAAAGGTTCAGGAGAGAAAAAAACGCACAGGCACAATTAATCGTCGATTCCCCAGAAAATATGGGAAGACATAGGAAGTGGGGGGGGAAGACAAAAACCCAGAAAATATGTGAAAATATGGGGAATCCTGTTATTTTGTTTATTGATTTGTGTGTCCCAGGGCCCCTTCAAAGGTACCTGGCCTCGGCGGCACGAAACTAGGTCGCACTTTACCAGGGACTCGGGCCTCGGCAGCACGACCCTGGCATACAGTTGCGAGGGGGTCTGGCCTCGGGCGCGCGGATCCCATGTAATTTCCAGATGTCGGGCTTCTGGCGCGCGGACCCGGCGTACTGCACAAAGGACTCCCGCCTCCAGAGCCCGAAATTGCCGTGATTTGCCCCGGGCTCTGGCTCGTGGAGCGAGAATCTGATATTATTTGCATTGTAGTCTGGCCACGAAAGCACGAAACTGGTATGATTCGCAGTGGATTCTTGGCCTCGGGAGCGCGATCGTGATTTGATTTTCCAACGACTCTGGCCTAGGGAACGCGGACCTGGAACAATTCACAGAAGGAACATTATTTCGGGGGCGCGAATCCCATGTATTGTAACGTGTCCAGACCCGCCAAAAGTTTCGGCACCGCGATTCCGGGACAGGGTCGGGTTCATTTTCGGTTTTCCCCCGCTCGCGCGGATAGCAGCGATTTGCAATAGGAAGCAGACAATAAAATCATGGCATAGGAGAAGGGAAGTTGGAATTGGAGCAGCTTGCAGGAAAGCTTCTGCCACGCTGCCTGGTGGCCTCGCGTGGGGGCTGGTGGATCTGTCATAGCGCCATGTCTCACGACGCGGATCTCGGGGGAGGGGGGGGGAATTGCTTCTGCCAACTTGTCCACCCTCCCGCTCTCTAATCACCCCATCCCCCCCTTCATTCATCACCCAGTTCCTCCCTCCTCTCACTCCCCCTCTGATGCCTCCTCTGATCCCCACCTCCTCCCTCTCTCGTTCCTCCCTCTCCCGCTCCCGTCGTCCTCCTTGGGAGCAGCAGAGATACGAGGCAAGCGCAACTAGACGGAGGCCATTGATGCTTCCGCACCCGAGCGAAACACACACGCTGGTGTGGCGCAAGTTCGCGCGGACGGGGATCACATCGGAAGGTCTGGCAGCATCCGAGCAGCTAAGAACAGACAATTTGGCGTGGTGGGCGATGAAGAAACATCCCGGTGTTGTGTTGGTTTGCCCCCCGATTTCGTAGCCGCCATATCGTTGGAAAGGTTGTTCGATGTCCTTATTTCCAGCTCAAGTGGGCTGGCTCAGCGGCTTCAGTTTGCCGTGAAGATTCGAGTTGTCGGCTCCGCGTTTTGCTGAGAGCATTCCCAAAATCCAGTTCTGGTTCCTCAGCATGCAGAACGTCGCAATTGATAAGACGCCATCCTGCCAGCAAGTGTTCCACGGAGACATCTGCTCCCCCAGAGTCCCATGAAACCCACATAAAGATCCAGTGCACACCACCAAGGTTTAAGATGAACGACGACTGTGCTCTCATCTTTGTTGTGGCTCAGAAAGAGTATGATTGAATGTGTTCACAGCTGTGTGTACAAGTCCCTGCACGATGCAGTCCTGCTCAGAATCGCCGTCGCGGACGTTCGTTTGCGAGCGCCTGGCCCGCGAGCGCGTTTCCTCTTAACTTGAAGCACGCGTGGCAGTGTGAGCACAAGGACGGACATCTTGCAGGGCCCCCCTCGGTGGGTTGTGCAGAGACATGAGGTGGGGAAAGTGCAGGCAAGGGAAGAATCAACACAGCCATGGCGGCGAGGCGCTCCCGGAGAGCACCCAGCCCAGCAAGAAGATGAGAAGCGCTGCCTAGCGCATGCGCTTCAGCGGCAGGCGAGCTTTATGAGATTTCGTGTATACTGTAGGTATCACCGCGCAGCTTGGAACGGGCGCGCCAAAGTACGGTGGGGGCGTTGGTTAAGGAACGTGCACGGGAGGCATCAGACCTTGGAGTGTTCCTTATCTGATGAGGGCGGCGACAATATCCACTGCCAATCCGCGATTGGAGTTCCACTGGCATCCAGACCCTGGATTCCTTATCCAATACTTCCTTATTCAATGCCCCCACCGTGCACAGTTGTGTTTGTTGTATGGTGTGCTCGGCCCATCTGGAGCGGCCCCCAAGCTCGTACATCTTTTCAGCCACACGCCACCTTGTTCGGGATGTGGCGTCAGGCCGCGAATTCGCGGCACGGGGGCACAAGATGGTGCGCAGTCATCGATCATAAAATCCGTTCCATGTGCGCACATACTTGGCAGGTTGGCCCGTATCTGCGGACAACCGAGCATTGAAGTTGCGCGTGAGCAGCATACATGATTGTTCCGATGCCTCGGCGTGCCACCCCGCTCGCATGGCACGTGCAGTGTTAGCCCCGCCGTGGGTAGCATCGCATTCGGTCGGGGTCCTGACGACCCCATGTACGAGCAGCGCTGCGTGTTTGAACAGCTTGTCGCAGAGAGAGAGAGAGAGAGAGACAGAACCCCAAAAAGATATACAAAAACATAGGAGAGAGCGAGACAGAAAGAGAGCGCAGAGTGAGAAAGAGAGAGAGAGCGACAGAGAGAGCGCAGAAAAAGAGAGAGAGAGAGGGAGAACAGAGATAGAGAGAGAGGGTAGGGATATATAGATATATACATACATACAGAGAGAGAGAGCAGAGATAGAGAGATGCTGGTCATTACTTGTTTGGTCAGGCGATGTGTTGCTGTTGATGGCGGCGGCATGGTACCAGTACATATTCAGGTTGCGCTGAAGCACAATAATATGATGGATACTATACATACGCTCTTCGACGCTCTTCCCCATCCATCAGTTGTGACCTCCTCCTCCTCCCGGTTCTCTGTTTCCTCACACGGAGGGAAGAGACATGGTTCCAATCATTCCTCCTCATCCTTTCTTCTTCTCCTCTTCGCCTACCTCCCCGTGCTCCCCCTCCCCATTCTCCACCCCCCTTCATCCTTCTCCTCCCGCCTCTCCTTTCCGCTCCTCCTCCTCCTCCTCCTCCTCGTCCTCCTCCTCCTTCTCTTCCTCCTTCTCCTCCTCCTCCCCCTCCTCCTCCTGTTCCTTCTCCTCCTGCCTCCCCTCTTCCACCTCAGCGGCCTCCTCCCACTCCTTGCTCTTCCCCTCCTCCATGCTCGTTCTCCCCTCTCCTTCCCTCCCAGTCCTCCCCATACACGTCCCTGCTCCCAGGAAAGGTGAGAGGAAGAGGATGAGTGAGGGCGAATCGGGAGGAGAAGACCAATTACCCAGGGACGCACCAAACGAATATTAGCCGATTGTCAATCCTTGGCAAACTAGTTTAGGGAACGAGACAGGTATAGGATGAGAAGGGCGAGACGGAAAAAAGAAGACGAGGAGAAAGACAAGGAGGAGGAGGAGGAGGAAGAAGAAGAAGAGGAACAAGTCGAGGAAGGCAGACGGAAGGTCTCGCTGCGTCTGCGTATATCCGTGCTCCGCTGGAGTCCCCGCAAGAGCGCAAGAAAGCAGCGAAAATTGATCGCTTGGGAAGCCCTGGGAGGGAGCAGTCGAAATGGGCCCAGCGTATCCGCACTCCTCCTGACCCCCCCCCCCCCAAGGAGTGCGGGAGAGTGGTGACGATACGCACGCCATGCAGCGCCCAGAGAGGGCGAGGGGAGAGGAGGCGGGAAGCGCGAAGCGAGAGGAGGCAGGACGCGCGAAGCGGAAAGAGGAGGGGAGGAGGTGGGAAGAGAGACAGCACGGAGCAGGAGGCGCTCCAGCCACGGAGAGAAAGAGGGCCCGGCCAAGAAGAAGGCTTGGGAGAGAGAGAGAGAGAGAGAGAGAGCGATGGCGAAGACGAGAGCGAAGGCGAAGACGACAGCCGCGCGAAGTGAAAGCGACGCGTGCACCCCGAAGCGCGAGCCAGCCCACGGGGCGGGCCCGGGGTGGGCACCGAGCGGAGGCCCGGAGCACGCAGCCAGCGCACCCCGGCGGGCACGGAGCGGGCACGGGCGGGCACCGCGACGTATCGCGACGCGTTTGTACGTCGCGCCTCCTCCTCCTCCTCGTCCTCTTCCTCCTCCTCTTCCTCATCCTCCTCCTCCTCCTCCTCCTCCTCCTCCTCCTCCTCCTCATCATCATCATCATCATCATCAGTTTGAGCCTACAGCGAATGTGGAACACAACGCCTGTGTGCAGGCTGTCTGGTGCAGGCTCTGTGCTGCAGTCTATGTGGCGCAACCAACTCGGGTGCCATCTACGCTGTGCAGCCCCAGGCGGGCGCGAGAGAGCTGCAGTCGACCCGCAGAGTGAGGATGGGCAGTTGTCCAAGGGTGCCCTTGCATCCTTCCCCATTCGGCCAATCCTTGGCCGCTTTCGCTGGGCGCGCCCCACTCGCAAAGTGTCGACATGGTCCTCCTAGGCGCTTGCATCCGTATCGCTTACCCTTACTATACGGGTTGACTGTATCATGTGATGCGTTGCATGTTAGTTTGTGAAATGTGTGGTGCAACGCGTGTCGTACAAGTGGTGTATTATTGAGCGTGCATCTCTGGTGCAAGCAATGCGGCGCAACAATCTATGTGCGCATCCAGGATCGCAGGTAACCTCAGGAAGGCATTAAGAACCCCCCCCCCCTTTTCCGGTGGATTATAACGCCCCCGCACCCTGGAGCGTTATGGCCGCACCGGAAGACCTGGCTGAGGGGACTCGGGGCCTAGCTAAGGCCTGCCAAGCTAAGGCCTGCCAAGCGCAGGGATAAAGGTGCACAAAGATCTGGGCTAGATCCTTGACATTCGTCACGACACCCTCTCTTGGCGTTAGTGGGGCGGCCGCCGATGGTGGATTTTGTTTTCTGTGTGCGGCGGGTGCTAAGTGTATCGTTCGGCTAAAACTGCCCGCCTGGAATATTGAGAAAACCGGGTGCTAAGAATAACCCAGGGGGGTTTCTTAATGCCTTCCTGAGGTTAAATGCACGAGGTACCGACGGGCGGGCAACGGGTGAAAACCCAGGAAAATTCAGCCAGCGCATGAGGCGCTCACGGGTGCCCACTGGGATAAAACACGGCAAACCCGACCAGCTCACCTGGAGAGCACAAGGCGCCCATGGGCGCCCACCAGGCGAAATCCCTGACAACCCAGCCAGCGCGCGAGGCGCCCACGGGGCAAAATCGTGGGACAACAACACGATCATGCAACAGCCAAGCAAGAACCCCCAGTGCAAGCAGGCTTCTGTCAAAGAAGAAAGGGTAAAAAACCATCGAGGGCGGCGAAGAAGGAGAAGGGTAAGACGATGCATCGCATGCCCGAAGCAGAAGGCACAGGCAGCAGTACTTCCGCGACGCCTGGTATGGCAGGTGGCGCCCGCTGCAGGGGCCTCGCGCCTCAGCTCCTCTCGCGTGCGCGGGGTGTACCGCAGCGCTGTCCGAGATCTCATGCTGAGCGCAAGCCGCGATCACCCGAGCTGGCCCGCGTACAAGCAGATGGGGCATTCCAAAAAGGGCCTCGCCTTCGAGGATAGAAGGAGTTGCCATCTCGGCCTCGGCGGCAGGGCGGCGGAAAGTCGGAGGAAAACGAGGCCGCCCCAGCCGGCGGAGGGCCGGCGGAAGGCGGCGGAAGCAAAAGTTGCGCCCCCAAGAAATGAAAACGTTTTTCTGGGGTTCAGGGTTTCCAGAGTCCGCCATATGTGTCACCAGGTGGTCCGTGCCGCTCCCCTCGGGGCCCCGTGCCGGCGATGGCGTCAGCGGAGCCCAGTCGGCTGGTGCACTGGGCACCGGGTGCGAGCCCAGGGCCCGCCCAGCCGCCCCCCCGCGCGAGCGTCGTCGCCGCCGTCGCCTGCGTCGTCGCCCCCCTCCTCCCGAGGCCCATGGATCTGGGCGTCGTGAAAGACGTCTCGACGGGCGAGTCGTCGCCCCCAATTCTGGCTCCCCCCCGGACCCACACGGACAGGTCCTGGCTCGAGAGGCGTCGCAGAGAGAGAGAGAGAGGGAGAGACCCAGACAGAGAGACCGAGAGACAGAGAGGCAGAGATGCAGGGGCAGAAACAGGGACAGGACAGCGAGAGAGAAAGAGTGAGAGAGAGAGAGGCGACGACGACGACGACGACGACGACGACGACGACGACGACGTCCACAGTTTCCTGGCCGTGAGTTTTCAAGGCGCCGTGCTTTTTCCCAGAGATTGTAAAAGAAGGAGGGCAGAGAGAATGAGGGAAAAGCAAAAAACAGAAAACGGTGAGAGAACGCGAAGACGTACATAGTTCCCCCGACCGTGTCTGCATCGAGGCGCTCCTGTCTCGTGCCGGTAGTGATTGGCATGAGCCCGCACGTGTCCGCCTTCGTGGCCGCCCGTCACCGCCGCCCCGTCGCCGCCTCGCAACGCTGCGTGCGAGTCCTGGCTCCCGCCCGGCGGCCTCCCGCCGCCGCTTCGCCGCCGCCTCGCTCGGCGGCTGGCGCTTCGGGATCTCCGCGCGGCGGGTCACCCGTCGCGGCCTCGTCGCCGCCCCGTGCGTTGGCTGGGCGTTCTGGGTTTGTGGCCGGCTGTCTCCCGTCGCCGTGTCGCCGCCCCGCGCGTTTTTTCGCACCCCTCATTCGCCCTCTTCATTGAAAGTATTAGACTCTACCACCCCTGTGAAGCTTTACTCCTATGCCGAGGCCGGGGTTGCCGACCCCCTTCCAGCATGATTCCCGTGAGAGTGTTTGCACTTCGGGGATTTTGATGCTTTTCAGAGGAACTGGACCTGATTGTCGGTCTGGTGGCCACGTTGTCGCCGTCATTGCCCCGTCGCCGCCTCGTCGCCGACCGTCGTCTGGGCCTGACTGTCGGTCTGGCGGCTATGTCGTCGCCGTCGCCGCCCC